TGTGTGTTGTTGGTTCAGATGGTCTTTCCTTCTTAAGCTGCACAGAACCTGAAGACAAACAGTCAAATATTGACTTGATAAACCAGTTTACGTTTCTTTTGTGCCACGCACTGATTTCTATTGTTTCCCTAGACTTTTCTCGTTGTCTTGTTTGTATTTTTACAAGCTGTCGATGGAAAACAGCGTGCACATTGTAAAAAACAATTGGCTATTCATTGGTCCTTCTTCAGCACGTGCCATATGCATTGTTAGTTGTTATATTTAGGGTGAAAGGAAATGGGGTGTACCAATAACACAATATGGTCCTAATTGAAGTTCTACCACGCCTACGAGCTTAACCAGCTGATGGTAAAAAAATCTATTGCCAATTTGCTCAAACATTCATGTAAAAATCGGCGTCTCTTTGCTCTCTTTCAAAGCAGGTCAGGTTAACTAACGAGTTTTGCTCTCCACCCAGTAAAAGCGGCTGCTCGTAATGAAATTTGCAACTCAAACAGAAAACGTTGGCCTGTAATTCCCAGCAGCCTCGGATGGTTGCATTGTTTCCACTCCCCATTAGCCTCAAGATTTGCAGCAATTAATGTCGCTTTTGAGGCTAAAGTAAACTCCTCAATTGGCAAAGCCTCGGTTCCATCATATGACCAGCCAGACTGCCGGATTTGACCTCAATTGACCAATTGCCCGTTAAAGTGGAGCATTCCAAATTTAGGATACTTGTTCCAGTTGATAACAGTGTGGGTTTTCGGGTTTAATCAGTAGCCGAAATCAATCTCAATGAATATTTAATTGAAATTTTATAGTTTCGAAGCTCCACCTGGTAAACTAAAAACGACTAATTATGGAACAATTCGCTGATGACCTTTTTGAAATTCGGGTGACATCATTTTTTCCAACATGGCAAGTTTGCATTGTGGATGAACGATTTACATACATTTACATTTAATTTCAAGCTGTTTCCATGCCAGTTCAAGAGACAGACAGTTGAATGTTGGAAGGTTTCGAGATAATGTGAATCCTGCAATTTTTTTCTCGGTACTCGGCTGCATAAACGACAATGATAAAAACCATATTTGGACCGTCAAGTGACGAGTCCTGCAGATGAAAATCAACCGAAATTTCCTGTCACCATTGATAGTTGCCAGCACACCGATCAGTATTATACAGAGTGATTAAAAATAGGGGTCATTCTCCGAAAGCGTTGACTGCAAGTATAAATAGGAGAATATTCGCAAAGGGAACAGGATGCTTTAAAAGACAGAAGAAGAAATACTTTATTAATGAAATTATGAATTATTTTCCACGACAGCCCCAATGAAGCACCACCGGACTAAGTTCAGAAAGTTCCTCTTGAAAGCATGAGTGACTTGAATCATCAGAACAACCCACACTGGACTGATGAGAGACGCCTAAAAAATAAGGCAAAACGTCGGCAAATCAAACGGAGATTAAAAAGAACTTGTCAAAAAGTACCCACAGTAAAATGGAATTGAAAGAACTTGAGCGGCGGAGAGATTTTGAGCTTTTAATTCAATTTCTCTGTTGGTCTAAGGCTGATTTAATAACGGGATTTGGACCGGTGAGGAAACCCTAACCCTGATCTGTTTAGGCCTGAGGAGGCCCAAATAAATGGCAAAGTGTCGGCGATTAAAAAAAAAGCATTTTGCATTTACACCAATCCAAATTCCGTTAATAATGAAACGAATCAATCAAGAATTTAAATAAAAACAGAAAAATCAAAAGAATTCGAAAGGCGCGAGTTTGCAATTGCGTTTTATTTAAGTGCCTCTCTGTACGTGAATTTGGGCAATAACCTTATTGAATATTTCCAAGGAAAAGTTAAATAAATGATTCGGGTGAAAAACGCACGCAAAGCCCCCCGTACAGTGACCTGAGGATGAACGAACACATCCAAACAAAATTGAGGATCGGGTCAGTGACCAGCCAATAAATAAAAAAACCTAGGGAGACCCGCAATTTTTTTGTGCACGTAATGCGTGTCGATCGATAAACAGTAAAACAAACCACAACGGATCATCGATACAATAATATGCGGGTTTGAGGAACTAAAAAAAATCTAAACAAACTGAAATCATTCTACGAAATTAGTTGCGATAATGGGCGGCTTTTTAATTAATTGCCATTATTTAACATGATCTGCCTAAAGACAAACAAACGGTTTGTGAATGTCGGCCGTAAGTTATCATTATCACTCTCGTTACTTAACTAGTTGTAAAAACCAACAGGGAACTAATGAAACGATGTAACACACCTGGTTTAATGGTAAAGAGTCGGCACTTCCGGCACTTTCCCTTTTAATCCACTGGAAAAATCGCCTATTTTTAAACGCAATTTTGTTGACAAACACTGTGAAATTCGGATTATTCAGTCAAATTTCCTTCGTAGTGCAGTGTGTTTACAGATGGCAAAAGGAATTCGCTGGATTGCCTTTTCTAGATCGTCCTAACAAGGCAGCTCGCCTAGTTTTCACAGAACCTGACTCAAGAATTTTAGTTGTTGCTAACTTAATGCACTTGTGCAGTTACGTTGACTCATTGCCTCTAAAGAAGCACATGCATTCTTCAACTTGAAATTTCTTCGAAAAAGCGCACTTCTAGCAAAGGCAATTTATAGCTTTTCATTGGCCACTGAACAGACCAGCTTGAAACAGGAACTGACCATATTAGCGGCAAAGGTGGGTTTGCACCTGCTTTAGCCCACTCGCGCCCACCAATCTGCGGTAAACAGAAACACATCCATTTCGGCGAGAACAAGAGTAGATTGATGAAAAGCTTACGCATTGGTATAGAGAAAAGTTCCGTTCAAATCTCTCTTCAGTAGTTCTTTGCATGTTCAATTCCGACTTTAGATCAGTCGTATAAGTAAATAGGGTGCATACGGCGTACTACTTATGACGCCCAAATATTGCCGATGCATTTGTGAAAATCTCAACGTTGCCGAACGTTTCCAAACTTCATGGATTTTATAGTCATCTCGATGTTCGCTGATTCAACAAGCAGGCAAAAATGGATGTAAAATTTCCCGCTCGTTCTGCCTGTCTTTTTAACGCCAGATTTAGAACAGTCTTTTAAAATTCCATCACCCAAGTAATATTTTTTCTTGATGGTTTACCCAAGTCAAACAAACACACTTTCACGTGTCGCGCTTGTTAAAACGGGTCCATGTCGATTAATGTTCCAGCAAACACTTTTCTTGGAACGTGGTGGACCCATATTTCACTCAACAACATCGGCATTTAACTTTCATTGCCCTCATAACTCAGTTTTAATGTTGAAGACTAAGCGATTTCTTTTTCAGAGGAGTGTTGTTAATAGGAAAACATCATCCACGAAGTTTGATTGGATTGGGGTGATTGGATGGAGTTTTTACTGAGTATCTTATTTTTCCTTCGAATCACGTTCAATAAGTGATAAAAATTCAATTTTTTCTAATCAACTCGCCAAACTTTCCGGACAATTGAGCTGGCGCCATAGAAAACTCGGTTTTCGAGTTTACTATGCAGGTCTTAAGGACTGAACGGGGAAAAATCGTGCCTGGACTACTAATAAAGGCGGCTTGCATTATCTGGATGTTGCGATAGTGGCATTAGGAGCCTTTTTCCAAACGCCAGTAAGTTTGATAACGAACGATTCCTTGCAACTTTTAGGGCGATTACAAAATAAATATCACCGCGTACATTTAAATTTCAGAAAAATCAAGCAGCCACTGGCACGTGTCCACCCAAAATCCCATTGTTTAAGTCCCATTAATATTGCCCGTCTATAACGTTCAATGTACATTGTTGTCGCTTGGAATAATAGAGAGTTATTGGACATGCTAAATACTGCCATGCAGTACTAATGATATTCCTTATTTTGATACTGCATTTGCGTTAATTCTGTAACAAAATGATAGTTATGTGAATGCCTAGTTCACTGCTTTCAGTATTAAACATGTGTTATTGTGTAACCTAACCTTACACAATTTATTATTAATCATTTTACGTTTTTGCATATGTATTTTTTACCTTTTCAATTGGATTTTGGTTGCTGTTGATCATTTACGCTTAATTGTTATAATGAAGGAAATTCTAGAAGCCGCAGTCATAGGCGGAGCAAGTGAAAATGAACTTGAATATTACATTTTTGATAATACTTAGTTAATGGCTTTAAAATTTCAATTGATTTCTATGGGGTTTTCACCCCGTCGATTCGTCTTCATTGCTTTAAAGCATAAAAATCGAAATTTCGGGAAAAAAAACAACTGCAAATTCGCGTCTCAAATCCACTGCTCTGGATTTTTTGGTATTACTGAGGCTCTTCATTTAGGCTTGGAATCAAGAATTTGAGTAAAACGCAGATAAATCGGATGCGAGTTTGAGAGGCAAGAGCTTGTAATTGGTTTTTCCTCTGCAACTTTCTTTTTATGTTAATTACATTTTCGCTTAGTCAGTTGCTCCTGCTTTGCATCACTCACCAAATTATTTGGGTCACTTTGGCACAAAAATCATTTTCCCGTCTCGGGAAACGAATTAATCAACACCAATCCATCAAAATGACCGGCAATTATTTAATTGGCAAATGCACACCTCTAGAATTGGAAAGTAAGAGTTTTTAACACCCTAGTGCGATAAAACAGGCATTTGCTACCTGAAAACCAATGCGTAAAGAAACACTACCTCAATCGCTGGGTCAATAACCTCAAAACACCTTTTTCTGGCAGTTCCTAACTGAGTTTTCGTTATGTCAACAACACCAATTCCCTGTATGACGCAGACCGCAAATAAAATAAATGTTAAAATTAGTGTTTGAGCTTCGCTCTTCAATTATTTAATCGTCTAATATCAGCAACGGCTTAATCAAGACCGAGAGCTCCTTCGCGGCAGAAACCATGAGTGAAAAATGTACAAAAACAAAAAATCTTTGGGCAAATAGTTAGTTAATATTACTCCTTTTCGCCGATTTTAACATTTACTACTGGACTATTGAAACGGTTGAACTTACCTGGCAAGTCTTCTAGCCTGGTGGTCAAGTTCTGGTCACTTCCCAGCTAGCAAAGTAAATGAAACAAAAACAAACTGAACACTAAATCGGCTGCGTTCGCGACATCACCACGCAAAATAGCCAACAATCGGACTATCAAGACTGCACGTGATTTTTAACTGTAAACTTTCGAATGTTTTGCGTCAAAAAAACGCACACAGCAAACGGAACAAACGTCGCAACACGAAAAGCTCAACACTGACTGAACTGGTCCACAAAAACTGGGACCACAACGTGCATGACTCACTGTGTTTTGTGTAGTGGTAACCCGGCCTGCAGTGTTGCCAGCGCAGCACGCGATGCAACTATAGCAATAGGCGGACTAGACAAGCTGTAGATTTTCACGACCATTCGTTGAAACTGAAGTTTTCCAGAACACATGAAACTGGCGAGTTTTTTCAAGTTTTTAGACTGTGTGCTGGTGGCTGGGGACTGGTGGCTTTAACGCCTCTGAAGATGCAAGCCACACATGCTTGCAAAACGTCAGGAAGAATTTTTTTTCCATGACGAAAAACTCGCCAGTTTCTTGGCCTTTCAGACATGCTAAAAACTTCCGCAAATAAAATGTCAATTCTTTTGGGAACAATCGACTGCCGATGGTTTCAAATAAAATCACAAAACCTAGTTAAACTCCCGACATCCTGGCAGCATTGCAGTGTCTCGCGAGCCATGGAAGGGCCGACTAATAGCGATTATGCACTTTCGGGGTCCATCGGCATCCGCACACAGCCTCCCTCCTCTGATGTGGGCTTTTGTCTGAGGCCTAACTATGGGGAAGCGAGAAGGGGGCGATCGTCCTCAAATTCAGTCTTTATCCATGCTCAAATTCCGATCAGACGATTCGTAAGAAGGGTTGGAATGTCGTGTTTGAGAACTGTGAGGGTTGAAAGGATCAAATTGCACTGGGCAAAATTTGGACGCAAGTCCAGTTTCCCACACGGCACATTGTTGATTATTAATTGAGAAATAAGCGAGTTTGAGAGGGTTTCAGTTCCGATCAATGCCCCTTGCGGGTTACCAGCAATAAATAATGGCTTTGCAACAACGTAATATTAGATTGGCTCACTTACCCGAGATTTCGGGGTGTGCTTCAGGCCAATAGCAGGCTGGCTTCGATTGCTCTGTAAAAAAATTCGAGTTAATCATACTGGTAAATATGTCAACGTTAAAAAATTAAAAATCATTAAACGTAGATTCCTCTATACGATTTTTTTGTGTAATTTTAAATTTTATTTTAACTCGGTCCGGTACGTTTTTATGTAACCGCCGCAAACAGTCTTAATCACCGGTTATCTCGTCAGAAAACCTCAACAACTTAATTACAAATTATTTTTTCTCTAATATCGCTCTTACCAAACGACTTTCATGGCCTAGTTTGTCAATGTGCGTTGACGCAATCCGGAATTTTACGATTTTTTCGCATTAAACCTCTTAAAAATTGCACAACTCCTCAATTGATCGAACATTAACATTCTTCATCAC